CTGCCACGAGAGGAAGAAATATTTTCCATTTTGAGGAGAATGTAATATGGCAGCAGTGGGAATATCTGGGGAGATGAGGGAGGAATGCACTTAGGAGAAAGAGATGGAACTGGGAGGATGAAAAATGGGAGCAGGGTCATGAGAGGGGTTGTGGGGAGGACGAAGTTTTTGTTGGAGGAACCTCTTGTGAGAGAGTCCCTGATTCCTGGGGCAGCCAGAAATGGCTCAGGAAAGAGAACCCGGGGAGCAGCGCCATGAGGGGATGGGTTTGGTCACGCCGGCAGGTCCCTGGGCCATAAATTTTGGGGAAACTGTTAAAATGTGAATAGGATTCTCCAATTTTCTTTTTGGGAACGGTTTCAAAGGCCTTTGCTGCTCCTTCCCTTCTGCTGCAGTTCCCTTTGTTGGGCTGGAAGGAGGAGGTGACACCCAAAACCTTGTGAGGCTGAGGAGATCCAGCCAAGGACGGGAGTCAGGTTGTTGTGGAGCCTTCCTGTGGCACCCCCAGCCCAGCTCCGCTCACTTCTGCTTCTCCTGCCTGGAAATCTGTTCCTCTGGAAGAGATTCCAAAGGAATTTAAACTTCCAGAGGTTGTGGTGGAGCTGCTCCAGGTGCTTCGCCCTCCTCAGAGCCATGGCTAACACCGGGATGGAGACCCGGCCTGGGGTTTGTGGGGAAGGAGCTGAGGAGTGGGCTTGGGAATTTTGGTTCCTGTGCTTCCCTTGACCCCCAGCACCTGGGGAGCTCCCCCATCCTGTGGTGCTCCCGAGGAGCTGGTGGGGAAAAATCCCCGTGGGAATGGTGGGGAGCTGCTGGAGAGAGCCCAGAGGAGGCCCCGGAGCTGCTCAGCCGGGCTGGCAGAGCTGGGAATGTTCCCCTGGAGAAGGGAAAATTCCAGGGAATGCTCAGAGTCCCTGAAGGGGCTCCAGGAGAGCTGCAGAGGGACTGGGGACAAGGCCTGCAGGGACAGCACACAGGGAATGGCTCCCACTGGCGAAGGGGAGATTGGGCTGGGATCTTGGCAAGGAATTCCTGGCTGGGAGGGTGGGCAGGGGCTGGGCTGGAATTCCCAGAGCAGCTGTGGCTGCCCCTGCATCCCTGGCAGTGCCCAAGGCCAGGCTGGATCCACCTGGGACAGTGGGAGGTGTCCCTGCTGTGGATGGAATGGAATGAGGAGATCTTTCAGGTCCTTTCCCACCCAAACCAATCTGGAATTCTGTGGAATTGGGCTGGACACGGCCATGGTGGGACACTGGAACTGCAGCTGGGTGTGGGATGGCTCCTTGTCCTTTCTTTCCTGAAGGGAAGTGTGGGTGAGGATCCAGGATCCTGGAGCTGGGGGATGAGGGAATGATCCCAGATCTGCCTGGATTTGGTGCAGTCTCAGCAGAAACCTCCAAAATCTGCTCTTAAAACTGCCCTGAGGCCTCCTGCTCCTGGTGAGCAGCTCTTGGAGAGTCCAACAAGTCCTTGAGGCCATCACAAAATACTGAGGAAACGGCAGCTTCTGGGAGCCCAGTGATGAATTAATTACTCATTAATTTCCAGGGGATGGTGCACCATAAATGAGAGGTTTGGTGTGAGTGTCCAACCATGGTCCTGCTGTTGGTGGTGGCTCAGCCTCGCTGTGCTCCTGCCTTTGATGGTGCCACATGTTCATTTCTTGAAGAAATGGTTGAAAAAACACCTTCAGTTTTAAATTGGCCCCAAAATTCAATTATTTAAGTAATTTCCTCCAGCTTAATGAGTGGCATCACTGACGCTCCAAGGTTGGAGTGTCTGGGTTGATCAGGATGGAGATGATCAGGAGAAGTTGTGCTGCTTGTGGAGGTTTGGAGAGCCAAGGCCCAGCAGAATTTAATAAATCCCTTTGCCTTGGTCCCTCAGTGGTGGGGTGGGAGTGGGAGAATCCCTTTTTCCTTGGTTTTCCTGTGGTGGAGAGGACAAGGAGAACACCAGGATCCTGAGAATCACCAACCTTCAAGCCTTGGAGAGGGGCTCAAAGGGAGGTGGCTGCTCCCTGCATGGAATTTATCACTTTTTAAATTCAGGCACCACCTAATTTTATCTCTTGGGTTGGTAAAATTGTAATAATCCTCATCTTTTTGGGTCTCACCTGAGGATCCCTGATTTCTGCCTCGGGATCCTTCCCTTTCCTGAGGGAAACAGCTTTTGGGAGTGTTGGGAACACCTGACAGGGAAATGTTGGTTCACAGTTTCTGGTTCTAAAATCTCTCTTAAAATACCAAATTTCTCGTAGATTCAGGTTGGTCCTGAACCTGATTGCAGGGGAAAAGCTGGGATTTGTGATCCAGATTTGCCAGGGTGGCTGGATGTGCCCAGCATGGATTGGGACCTCAGCCAGGACAAAAAGCAGAATTCGAGGACAAAATCCATGTTTAAAATCTCCACATCCCTTTGCAGTGCACCTGCACAGCGGCAGGGAGGTCTTGGGGATGGATTGGAGCACCTAAAAAGGTTTTTTAAAATGGATTTTAGGACCTTAGAAGGTTTTGGGGGATGAATTTTAAGACCCAAGAAGGTCTTGAAGATGGATTTGAGTACCTAAAAAGATGTTTTAGATGGTTTTTAGCACCCGAGAAAGGTTTTTACATAGATTTTTGCACCTGAGAAGGTTTCAGGGATGGATTTTAAGACCTGAGAAGGTTTTTTACGTGGATTTTTTCACCTAAGAAGGTTTTGGGGATGAATTTTAAGACCTGAGAAGGTTTTTTAGGTGGATTTTTTCACCTAAGAAGGTTTTGGGGATGAATTTTAAGACCTGAGAAGGTTTTTTAGGTGGATTTTTTCACCTAAGAAGGTTTTGGGGATGGATTTTAAGACCTGAGAAGGTTTCGAGATGGATTTTTTCACCTAAGGTTTTGGGGATGGATTTTAAGACCTGAGAAGTTTTTTAGATGGATTTTTTCACCTAAGGTTTTGGGGATGGATTTTAAGACCTGAGAAGGTGTTTTAGGTGGATTTTTTCACCTAAGGTTTTGGGGATGGATTTTAAGATCTGAGAAGGTTTCGAGATGGATTTTTTTCACCTAAGAAGGTTTTGGGGATGGATTTTAGGCCCTTAGAAGGTTTTGGGGATGGATTTTTGCATGTAAGGAAGTCTTGCAGCTGGAATTTAGGACCTGAGAAGGTTTTGGGGATGAATTTGAGCACCTAAGGAGGTTTTTTTAATGGATTTTAGCACCTATAAAGGTTTTTTGATGGATTTTGACACCTTTGGGAAGGGTAGAATTAGGTGGGAGAGCTCCGGGCTCATCCCTGAGCTGATTCCTGCCGGAGCCTGGAGCTGCTCTTGGAGAAAACAAGGAGCAAGTCAGGCTATGGCTCCTCACAAGCCCTCGGTGGCTGAGGGCATCCCGAGGCAGCCTGGTTGTGTAATGCCACAACAGCTGGAGAATCATTAAATTACCATCAGGTTTTGCTTTTAATTAATTTATTTTCTGGAGAGGAGCAGGTTGACAGCTGGTGCCTCGCTCAGGTGATATTTGTTGTTGCATGTTGTTTGTTTTGTGAATTCTAAATGAGGTGGAGTTGGGTTGGCTTTATTTTATTTTATTTTTTTTTTTTCTCTCTCTCCCTGGGCTCTCAACAGTTCAAAGCAAGACGTTGTCCCTTCCCTGAGATGTTTGTGATCCAATTTCAGACAGAAAACAGGGCGGGTGTGGAGGAGGAGGAGGATGGGCAGGGATGAAACATCCAGGCTGGGTGGCCCGGGGGCCGGGCGGGGGGAGCACATCCTCGGATCCTGAGGAGCTCCAGGATGGGGATTCTGAGGTGGAGCCTGGTTTGGAGCACAAATCACCCCAGGGGGGCCTTCAGAGCCCAGCCCAGGGGTGATGGCCACGGGAAGGGGTCACTGTGGGGATGGAAATCCTCTGGACACTCAGAGCCACAGCCAGCTGGGAAAATGAGCTGCAGAGTTTAATTCTGCCAGTGGTATGGAGTGGTCTCATGAAATGCTGTACCCCAAACACCTTCTGGAATGCTGTACCCCAAACACTTTCTGGGATTCTGCACCCCAAACACCTTCTGGAATGCTGTACCCCAAACACCTTCTGGAATTCACAGAATTCCAGGAGGGAATGGTTGGAGGGCCCATCCATAGGTAGGGAATCTTCAGCTATCCCAGGGTGCTCCAAGCCCTGTCCAAGCTGGTCTTTTCCTCTCCCTCTTTGTGTCTTTGGTGTCTTTTGGCCCCTCATTCTCTTTGCTGACACCACCATTGGTTGTTTCATGGAGCAATAAATCCAATATTTGTCCAAATTGTGGTCCAGAAAGCGGCTGGACACATCCCTGTGTATCCCAGGAACTGGGCATGGAATGTTCCTGTACCTGAGCAGTCGGGGTTGGACTCGGTGTTTTCAGATCAACTCTTTAGCCTCTGGTACTTCAGTGGAATTTTGGAGGAAAGTCCCACATTTGTGCTGGAGGAGCACAAGGTTGGGCATTGAATGTGCCAACTCTGGGGTGACAGAGGGGCAGGGCAGTGCCCTTGTCCCCTGTGCTGGCACTGCCGGGGCACCTCCAGTGCTGGGGAAGGGGCTGGAGAATTGCTGAGGAGCTGGAAGGGGCTCAGCCTGGAGCACAGGAGGCTCAGGGGGACCTTGTGGCTCTGCACAGCTCCTGCCAGGAGGGGACAGCCGGGGGGTCGGGCTCTGCTCCAGGGAACAGGGACAGGAGCAGAGGGAACGGCCTCAGGGGAGCCTCAGGGTGGGCATCAGCAGGAATTTCCCCATGGAAAGGGTGGTCAGGCACTGGAAGTGCCCAGGGAGGTCTGGAGTGCCACCCCTGAGGGATTTCAGTGCCCTGTGGCTGTGGCACTTGGGGACAGGGGCACTGGTGGCCCTGGCAGTGCTGGCCATGGTTGCACTCCCAGATCTCAGAGGGCTTTTCCAACCTCAGCGATTCCACGATTTCCATTCCAAGTGCCCTCTTCCTGCACGTCCTGAGGGCTGCAATGACCCTTTCCTGTTTTCCAGGGAGCCCGGGAGACCTTTGAGAGCTACTACAGGAAGCAGAGGAGAAAACAAGCGCGGCTGGTGCTGCAGCCTCCCTCCAACATGGTCAGTTTGTCCTGGAACCTCACCCCCAGCTCCTGCTGCCCCTGGCTCATCCCTAAAATCCCCCCTTGCCCTCGGCCACCTGGATTTTAACCTCTGCTCCCTCTCTCTCTGTTGCAGCACGAAACTTTAGATGGCTACAGGAAGTATTTCAATCAAATTGTAGGGTAGGTGTTCCTTTTATACACGGCCCTGCTAAAAATGAGCGTCCTGGGCTGCCGAGGAGCCCAAAAAAAACGGGAGAGGAGGGAATGTTGGTATTTTTGGTGGTCCTCGTGGCCAAAACAAGACAAAAAAAAAAGAGGTGGTTTGTGCTTTTGAAGTGTTGCAAAGGGAATTTTGTCTGCTTTGCTGTGTCACTGAGGGGAGCGGGGAGGGACCTGCCAGCTCTTGGAGCAGCCTGGGAATTTCTGGGAAATTCTGGGATTTTCTAGGAATTTTTATGAATTTCTGGGATTTTCTAGGAATTTCTAGGAATTTTTATGAATTTCTGGGATTTTCTAGGAATTTCTAGGAATTTTTATGAATTTCTGGGATTTTCTAGGAATTTCTAGGAATTTTTAATGAATTTCTAGGAATTTTTAATGAATTTCTAGGAATTTTTAATGAATTTCTAGGAATTTTTAATGAATTTCTAGGAATTTTTAATGAATTTCTAGGAATTTTTAATGAATTTCTGGAATTTTTAATGAATTTCTGGGATTTTCTAGGAATTTCTAGGAATTTTTATGAATTTCTGGGATTTTTTATGAATTTCTAGGAATTTTTTATGAATTTCTGGGATTTTCTAGGAATTTCTAGGAATTTTTAATGAATTTCTAGGAATTTTTATGAATTTCTGGGATTTTCTATGAATTTCTAGGAATTTTTTATGAATTTCTGGGATTTTCTATGAATTTCTAGGAATTTTTATTAATTTCTAGGAATTTTTATGAATTTCTGGGATTTTCTAGGAATTTCTAGGAATTTTTAATGAATTTCTGGGATTTTCTAGGAATTTCTAGGAATTTTTATGAATTTCTGGGATTTTCTAGGAATTTCTAGGAATTTTTATGAATTTCTGGGATTTTCTAGGAATTTCTAGGAATTTTTTATTAATTTCTGGGATTTTCAATGAATTTCTAGGAATTTTTTATTAATTTCTGGGAAATTCTGGGAATTTCTGGGAATTTGAGGGTAAATGGTCCCTGTGGATTATGTTAATTTTCTTGCCCTGCTAATGACATGAATGGGCCCTCTGCCTTAATGGTTCTGGAACATGGAATAATTATTCTTTAATTATTTTCCTGCTGAAGGAGGTGATTCTCCATTCCCCAGAGCTGCTTTTTTATCACACTGAAATTTGAACAAAAATCTTCCCAAACTGAGCTCCGAGAGGAGAATTCCAAAGGCTGCTAGTCCATAAAAATTGGGCAGGATTTGTTCTTTCCTCAGCTCATAACGAGGATAATTTCAATACCTAATTAAGAGCACCACAAATCCCACGTGTGCTGCTCCCCTGGTGCAGCTCCCTGCTCCTGGGCTGGATTTCCTTGGGAAAAACCACCTGGAAATTCGTGTTTAAAATGCCCACTCTCACCCTCATTCCCTGGAAAACACTTTTTTATGGAGCAGCAGAGTCGATAACTGGAGACTGGAGCAAATTGATTGTCGGGAAATTTGGGAGCACGTGGTGGTGCTGGCTGGGAGAGAGGATTTTCCCTGCAGTTCCAACAGTTTTCCTGGTACTTAAAGCATTTTTCCCTGCAGATAAAGCATTTTTCCCTGCAGATAAAGCAGTTTTCCCTGCAGATAAAACAGTTTTCCCTGCAGATAAAGCATTTTTCCCTGCAGATAAAGCCATTTTCCCTGCACTCAGAGCATTTTCCCTGCAGTCAGAGCATTTCCCCCATTGTGACGGGATTCCTGCTGGCTGGAGCAGAGTTCAATCCGCGGTTCTTGTGGGAATAACGAGGCGGAGAGCTCGTGGAGGGGGAATTCTGCCTTTGTGCACACACAGAGCAGCACGGGGAGGGCTTTACCTCCCTCCTCCACCCCAGCGGAGGGAATAAAGTTAAATTAAAAATCAAAAACGAGGGAATAAAGTGCTTGGAGCTGCCTGGATTTGACAGACCCCCCCCAAATCCAGAGCATCCAGGCGCCCCGGCCCCGCCCGGGGACGTCCTTCCACCCCTCAGATGTGCATTTTCGGTGGCGTTTTCTGCATTTCAGGTTTTTTGTGGTGGAGGATCACATCCTGCACACCACGCAGGGCCTGGTCAACCGCGCCTACATTGATGAGCTGTGGGAGATGGCCCTGTCCAAAACCATCGCGGCCCTCAGGACCCACTCCGTGAGTAAAAGCCCGGCAGAGCTCAGCTGTTGCTTGACTGTCCTTGACATGCTGCAATTCTGCCTTTTTTTTTTTTTGCCCCCCCATCAGAGTTCTTTGTTTTCCCCTCTTTTCCAATGAGTGTTTGAAGGAGCGACACAGACACGCGGATAATTCTCTTTCTCCGGGTTTTTTAGCCTCTTGGTTGGCTGAATTTCCCTGCCGAGCTCGATATTTTGAGTGTAAAACACTGGTTTTATGTTTTTGTAGTGATTTTGTTCAGAGTTTTTGAGGAGCACCAGCAGAGGGAGTTGATTTGTCCCAAAAAACTGGGGGGATAAAGAATCTTTTTGGCAGACCAAAGCATGACCTTGTCTGATACAGAATCAGAGAATCCCAGGGTGGTTTGGGTTGGAGGGGACCTTAGAGATCATCTTCATCCCCTAAATTTCATGGCTGAAAAATGGGCTGGAAATGGGCTAAAAACGGGCTGGAAAGTGGCTGAAAATGGGCTGGAAAATGGCTAAAAATGGGCTGGAAAACCAAATCCAGAGAGACAGAACCCCAGGAGAGAGCCAGGAGCACCTTGGGTGAAAACATGGGAAGAGAAGGACACAAACACCAGTTTTTGAGCATCCTGGGGCCGTGGAAAACCAGATGGGATTGAAGGTCCTGTCCACCCCACATCATTCCATGGCTCTTGCCTGGATGTCTCTGGGATGAGGGACCCCAGAAGATCCTGGTGTTCTCCATTCCCATCCAGCTGACTGCAGAGTAAAATTTTTCCCAAGAAACTGGGGGAGAAATGCATCTTTTTGGCACACAGGATCAGACAATCCCAGAGTGGTTTGGGTTGGAAGGGATCTTAGAGATCATCTTGATCCCTTAAATGTTGTGGCTGTGATTGTGCTGAGGAATGGGCTAAAATGGGCTGGAAACAGGCTGGAAAACCAAATCCAGAGGGACAGAACCCCAGGAGAAAGCCAGGGAAAACATGGGAAGAGATGGACACGGATCTCTCTGATGAACCTGGATCTCTCAGGGATGAGGGTCCCCAGAAGATTCCTGGTGTTCTCCATCCCCATCCAGCTGACTGCAGAGTCTCCTCCTTCCCCCCGAGCCCCTGTGCTCCCAGGGGGGATAAACACCAGCCCCTCCCCGGGCTGCAAACCTGTGTTTGTTTTTGTTTCAAGTGGGATTTTCTCCGAGCTGGAAGCAGGAGGCTGAGCCAGGCCCAGCCACGGGGGTTTTTTGCTGTTCCCAGCTTTGTTGCCACGCAGGTCGTTTCAAGCGGTGCCAGAAGGAACGCACGGAGTGGCTGCCAGGGGAGGCTTTTCAGCAATCACAAAACATTCCGTGGTTTCCCAGCCTTGTGGCCACCACCACCATTTGCCCTGAGCGCTCCCAGTTCAACCAGTGCCCTGCATCCCAAACTGGGATCTGAGGCAGGGTCTCACCTTGCTGAGGCTATTTCAGTCCTTCCAAGGCAGACAAATTTATCCCTGGATTTTCCTCCTCGCCGCAGACAGGGACATCTTTAATCACTTGTGATGCTTCAGGGCATTATCTTTCTTCCTGACTCTCCTTTTTGGACAGGGAGATGGAAAACGTGTGTCTCCCAGTCCTTCCTGCTGATTAATGGAGCCGTTCCTCCTGGAGTTTCCAGCGAGCCTTAAATCCTGCTCCCTTTCCAGCCTGGGATCACTGATTCTATATTTGGGCAGCCTCTGTCTCAAACTTCACATTTTTCAGCGCAGGGAGGGATTTTTATTTATTTATTTAATTTTTTTTGGGCTGCTCTTGGGAAGCCTTGGGGGGGACTGGGGCGGCTCTGGGGACGCCGAGCTGTGTCTGGGGGGTTTGGAGCAGGGTAAATCCCCGTGCTGGAGCTGGAATCCAGCGTGTTTTCCCTCAGCCCAGGCCGTGGATGCCTGGCTGAGATGCTTCATTACCGTCAGACACAACACGGTAAATATTAAATGAGAGGCGAACGAAACGAGAAGGAAATATTAAATGTCACCCCGTCCCACGGTGACAACGCCGTGGGAGCCATCTCCCCTCGGTGCCCAGAGGCTCCTGGGCAGTTTTAGACACACCTCAGGTGTCTCTGGGGCAGCCCCGAGAGCAGAGCCACCCTTGCCAGCCCTGCCCTCGTGGGCTGGGGGTGAAGCTGCTGCTCCAGGGCCTGGCCGGTCCTTGTCAGTGCCCTGGTGGCACAGAGGGGCTCAGGGCAGGCTTTGGGCTGTGCCACGCAGTCACAGACTCCTTTTCCTCTGTGCCCTCCTCTCCAGTCCTACTGCTCCGACCCCAGCCTGGTGTTGGACCTGAAGAACCTCATTGTGCTCTTCGCCGACACGCTCCAGGTACGCGGGGCCCCTCCTGCTGCTCCCAGCTCTCCAGCACTGCTTCCGTGCCTCAGCTGGGCTGGCCGAGCTCTTTTTTTTGGCAATTCTGGGCGTGGGTCACCTGAGGGACAGCCTGGTTTGGTCTGTGCAAGGACCAGGCGTGGCCGCCTCAGCCAGCCTTGGGTGTTCTCCCTTGGTCAGTCACCCCCTGAGCCCCCCCAGCTGCACCAGGGGGGTGCTAGAGGAGGAATTGCCCCTGTTAAATACAGACAGCGATGCCCAGCTGCCTGGTGGTGGCTTCACTCCCTTCCTGCTGCTCTGCAGGGCTACGGCTTCCCCGTGAACCAGCTCTTCGACATGCTGCTGGAGATCCAGGACCAGTACAGCGAGACCCTGCTGAAGAAATGGGCAGGGGTCTTCAGGTGAGAGGCTCAGAAAGAAGCTCGCTGAGGGGTTCTGGGCCCTGTGTGGAAGTTTCTGAGGGATTAATTGTGAAATCATGGAAGGGGTGGACATGAAATGGTTTGGAATGGGATGGGATTTAAGTCCCTTCCCACCCAAACCATTCCATGATCTGTGCCCTCGCTCCATCACTGAGCCGTGGCTGCTTTGGGATATCCCTGGCTGCTGCTGCAGGAATTTGGGATCACACCTTAGCCTGGCACCAGCCCCTGGGAATCTCCTGGCCCAGCAGGAAAACTTCCCCCTCACAGTTGTCTCCCTAACTGTCCTTTTCTTTTCCCAGAAATATCCTTGACTCAGATAACTACAGCCCCATCCCGGTGTCAAATGAAGAAGTTTATAGGAAAATCGTTGGACAGTTCCCATTCCAGGATGCTGAACTTGAAAAGGTAAATTTTGGAATGGAGAGCATGGCCTGGCCTGGCTGCTGGGGCAGGAGAACCTCACACCTTTCGTGGGCACTGAAAGGATCCAAAAAACCCCTAAACCAGCCCCCCAGTCCAAATTATTAACAATAAAAGAGAAAGTAAAGCAATGGAAAGAACAGATATTCCTCCCATGGATGCATTTCTCCTGGTGTGGATGAGGGAAGTGGGATTTGTGTTCCTCTCAGAGTGTTCTGTCACACAGGTAGAAAAATCCGTTTCCACTGGCATTTTATTCCCACTTTTTGGACCCTGGGATTGACCTTTATTGGTTTTAGTCTGATATTTAGAGAAAAATAGCTCAATAAAATGGTGGCTCTTGGCCTTTGCACGAGCGCGTGCTTGGAAAACCAAAGTGTGTCCAGATGTCCCCCAAATCCTAAATCCTGCCTGGCCCTGTGCTCCACACCTGGCAGGCAGCAAATCCAGCCCTGGTGATCCCAGTTTAGGGTTCAGATTTCTGTGTCCTGCCCCAAAATTCAATCCCGGGGTTCAGCTGCTCCCAGCTCTGAGTGCTGGGGGTAAAAACTGGGAAAATTTGGTGTTGAAAAATCTGTTTGCTCCTGGGTTTTGGGGTCACCGGGCAGCACCTGGGGGAGGTGAGCAGGAAAACACCTCGTGCATGGTGGGGGAGGAATTCCAGGTGCTCCCAAGGAGGGAGGGAAGGGAGCTGGGAGAGGGAATGAGGGAATGGCCCCAAAGCCCTTCTGCTCCAGGTGCTGTTTGTGATTATCTGCTCTCCCCCTTGGCTGAAGTGTTGATAAATCCCAGAATTGCTTGGCCTGCCTGCAAGAGCCCTCCCTGCTGTCCCTGTTCTCCCTCTGGAGCTGTCCCCCTGTTTTCCAGCAACCCTTCCCAAAGAAGTTCCCCTTCTCGGAGTTCGTGCCCAAGGTTTACAGCCAGATCAAGGAGTTCATCTACGCCTGCCTCAAGTTCTCCGAGGACCTGCACCTCAGGTGGGAAACGTGCCCTGAGACAGCTCAGTTAAAATGTGGATCCTCTCTGTCCTCCTTTGGATGGGGCCTGTCCAGGCTGGAAGTGGCTCTGGAGCAGTGGGATTTTGGCTGGACATGTCTTCTCCTGTATGGGGGATCCCAGGATGGTTTGGGTTGGGAGGAACTTCAGGGATCATCTCCAAACCCATCACAGGGACACCTTCCACAGTGCTCCAAGCCTCCTCCAGCCTGGCCTTGGACACTTCCAGGGAATTCCACACTCCCAGGACAATCCCAGTGTGGGCTGTTTCCTCCAAGGTGTTTGTGCGTCGTTCTTTTAATCAATAATTGAACGCAGGTGTCTGCAGAGAGGCTGTGGTGGCCACTCGTCACCAGGGCCTGCTGCTGGAGCACCTCTGACCCCCCTGACTCCTCCCCAGGGAATGGGAATCCCGTGGTTCCATGAAAGCGTTGTCAGGAAGACTCTGAGGGTTGGATTTTTGGTCAGGAACGAGTTTCAGCTGCTGGTTTCGTGCTTTTGTTGTTCTTGTTTCTTCGGGGAGTTTATATACAAATAATGTGATTTTTTTTTTTTTTTTTTTTTTAAAGCCTGCAAAATATTCCATGTGTTTACCCTCCCTGCTCCATCCCGGGGTGCTTTGATGCTCGTTTCACCCGTGTGTACGTGTGTGAGACTGAAAACCAGCGGGGTCTGCCAGGAGCTGCCAGCTGGGGCTTTGCCTTTGCATCAGCAGCGTTCGCAGCTCGGGAGAGGCTTAGAAATGCAGGACAAGAGTCTGGCTGGAGGGATTCATCCTCCTTCCCTTCCCTGGGCAAACACGAGGCTGGGTTGGGGTGGGGACAGTTCCACCTCCTTGGGAGCTTCATGTCCTGGCCATGACCTGACGCTGGAGCTGCTGCAGGGCTGGAGCCCCTCTGCTCTGGAGCCAGGCTGGAGAGCTGGGAATGTTCCCTGGAGAAGGGAAGGCTCCAGGCAGAGCTCAGAGCCCCTGGCAGGGCCTGCAGGGGCTCCAGGAGAGCTGCAGAGGGACTGGGGACAAGGCCTGCAGGGACAGCACGCTGTGGCTGCCCCTGGATCCCTGGCAGTGCCCAAGGCCAGGCTGGACATTGGGGCTTGGATCCACCTGGGACAGTGGGAGGTGTCCCTGGAATTGGATCCAAATGGGATTTAAGGTCCCTTCCCACCCAACCCGTGGCTGCTGTGGAGCTGGGGCAGCTCTGGGAACTCAGTGCCCATTCCGGTGCCTGCCCCAGGCTCTCCAGGATTTTCCTGCTCTCTTTGGAGCCAGGAATGCTGATTTGGAGAGTCCCTTTCCCTGTGGGTTGCTTTGGGAGCTCAGGAGTTTCTCCCCCATGTTCCACCCCATCCTTGAGGCAGCTTCTCCTCTCTGCTCCTGCCTCCCAGGGCCCTTCACCCTGGGGTCCCCGCGGCCCCTGTCCCTTTCCAGAGCCCATTCCCGTGGCCGGGATGAGTGGCTCTGGCAGGCCAGGGAGCAGAGGTGTCCCCGTGGGTCCCTCCTGGGGCTCCCTCTGGACTCGTTATTAAAATTCCTTTCCACATCGGATTTTCCACATTGGAGCAGCGGGGGGAGGGGAGCCCCGCTCCAGCTCTCAGAGCCAAACATTTGGAATATTTCTCTGCAAACCCCTGTTGACACTTTCTTCATTTCACCCTGACAGCTTGAATTAGGTTTTATTAGGAAGCTTGGCTACAAAGCCGGCAGCGAGTTCCCTTTTCTCTTCCCTTTCTTTTTTTCCCTGGCCTTGTCATTTACGGAGCACCCCGGAGTGCTGGGGGTCAGCCCGTCACTCACAGGGGCCTGGAGGTCACCACAGCTGCCACGGGATCCGGGACAGGAGCTGTCATTATCCCAGACAGTTCCCTTCAAGCCTTTTCCTGCACAGCACAGCCCGTGGCGGAAAGGGGAGCTCCCATTTTATGTTTTTTTTTTTTTTCTCCCCCCCTCCACTAATTATTTTTGTTGAAGCAGCTCCTTGTGTTTGTTGGATGGGAGGGTTCTCCTTGATGTGGGAGTTGTTTCACTTGAGGAAAGTTTGGAGCTCCGGGTGGGTTTGGAATTTTTATTATTGGCGCTATTAATTGGATTAGAGCAGGAAAATTTCCTTTATCTCCTCAGCACTTTCGCCTTTTTACAAGCTGAGTTCATCAGGTTGTCTTTAAAAGTATCCCCTTGCTTTTTCCAGTGGAATTTCCCATTGGAAAATAGGGAGTATCTCTGGAAAACAGTGGCTGGAAGGGTGACCAGCTCTAATCCAGCAAGGCTTGGCTTTGGGTTGGATTTTTGCAAACAAAGCCCCAATCCTGGAAGAACTTGGGATACAAAGTGCAGGGACACCTCCCACTATCCCAGGCTGCTCCAATCCCCAGTGTCCAGCCTGGCCATGGACACTGCCAGGGATCCAGGGGCAGCCACAGCAAATTTGGGAATTCCACTCCAGGGCCTCACCGCCTGGAATTCCTTCCCAAGATCCCATCCAGCCCATTCCCGCCCCCCACTTGCAGCATCCCAACATCCCCCACCTTTCTCCCGGGATAACTTCAAGGTTGGCTTTTGTTTCCCACGTCAATCCCAGCTTTGTGACGTGGCCCCTCTGTCAGGTGGAGCAGGAGAAGGAGCCAAAGGTCAGGGGCTCCGTTTACCGGGAGGATCAGAGTTACTTCCCAGCCTTCCCCTTGGGAATTCCCTCTCCTGCCCCTCCTGCAGGAGACAATTCCCACTGCTGTCAGGGCTAATCCAGAGCCAAGCACAGATCCAAGGAGCCTCTGGAAGGGGGGGTTTGCAAAACCTCCTGGAGAAAGGAGAGCTGGCACCGTGAGCACCTCGGAAGGGCCGAACCCCCAAATTCCAGCGGGGCTGCTGCTCCAGACACCTGGGAAAGGACAGGAATGGGCTGCAGGAGTTTCCAGTCTGGTGTTCCAGGGCTGGAGCCAGGCTGGGAGAGCTGGGAATGTTCCCCTGGAGAAGGGAAAATTCCAGGGAATGCTCAGAGTCCCTGAAGGGGCTCCAGGAGAGCTGCAGAGGGACTGGGGACAAGGCCTGCAGGGAAAACCATTGTGGGATTCTGGGAGATGGGAGCTGTGCTGTGCTGAGGAGTCTCTGTATGGAAATCCAGGGATCATTGGAAATGTGTCCTTCTGAACCCATTCCCTGTGGCTTCACTCACTTTTGCAATTTTTCCAGGTTCCTTTTAAGGTCCCTTCTTACTTTGACCATTCCATGGTTCTGTAATTTTGTCTAAAAGCCCGGAAGGGGCTGAGAGGGGAATTTTGGGGGATTTGATTTGGGGTTTCACCACTGGAGATCTCTTCCCTTGTACTGAACATCCAACCCCCAGTGCTGGGGTAGGGTGGTGCTGATGCCATGGGTGACTCTTCCTTGGGCTGGACCAGCCCCTCTTGGATGGGAGGCTGAGGAATGTGGGATCTGCAGGTGTTAATCCTCCTGAAACATGGATAAAAAAAGCCTAAATTGTTGTATTTTGATGCATTTCAAACATCAGCTCCTGTGAGGGCTGCTCAGGGCTGAGGCAGGGGAGAGTCGGGAAGGAGGATGAGGAGAATTCCCAGGGATTTTCTTTCCATGGAGCATCTTGCAAATGCCTCTTTAAATTTTACTTGGCAGCTCCACGGAAGTCGATGACATGATCAGAAAATCCACAAATCTGCTGCTGACCCGGACCCTGAGCAACTGTTTACAGAACGTCATCAAGAGGAAAAACGTTGGACTGACAGAGGTGGGATTGGGATTCCCTTGGGAATGGAGCCACAGGGAATGGCTTCCCACTGCCAGAGGGCAGGGATGGATGGGAAATTGGCAAGGAATTCCTGGCTGGGAGGGTGGGCAGGGGCTGGGCTGGAATTCCCAGAGCAGCTGTGGCTGCCCTGGATCCCTGGAAATGTCCCAGGCCAGGTTGGACACCGGGGCTGGGATCCACCTGGGACAGTGGGAGGTGTTGGTGTCGGAATTAGATCATCTGTGAGGTCCCTTCCAAGCCAAACCATTCCTGGATTGTCTGATTCCAGGGCAGGGTGGCAGGAGGTCCCTTGGAGCTCTTTCAGGCACCTTTAGAGGTGCTGGTTTGGAGCATTCCATTAAATATTTGCCTGGAAAACTGCTCAGAGTTGTTGTACAAAGCGAGGAACTGCAGCTTGTGGGAAAGTGAAAAGATTTCTTCGCTGTTGGTTGTCAATTTTGCCCTCTTCATTTTGGGCAGCGTTAGAAATATGAATTAAAGTCAGAGGACTTCAGGGAGGACCAGAGGGGATCCAAGAGGGAAATGTGAGGGAATGGGAGAGCAATCCTCATTTTCAGGTGATGTTTGAGTGAATTCAGCACATTGCTGCAGCACAAACCCTAATTTGGGATTTTCTTTCCGTGGTCCATTCTTGTTTTTGTACAAAATCAGGTTTCTGATGATTTTAATCCATGTCAATCTGCAGGTCCCCTGGACAGGTGGGACCTCTGGGATTTAAACAAGGAGTTACTAATTATTTACTTAATTATTGCTGCCTTGCATCGTGTCAACCAAGGCTTTCCCTTCCCAACTTCTCATTTCTCCCAGACATCCCACAGCTTCTCTGGACACCCAGTTCCACTTCTGCACCTTTCCAGTGTCTCTTCTCCTTCCCCATGTCCAGGCTGAACCTCCCAAGGTGTCACCAGCACCAGTGCTGGGATCCTTGTGGTATCACTTCACAATTTCTGTGCCTGCACCTTTGAAATTGCTGATGAATCCACTCTCCTTCAGATCTGGGAGCGTTTCCAAACCCTTCCTGCATGGGAGGTGGCTGCAGACAGCCCCACCACGCTCCAGCAATGAAATGACATTTCCAGCAATGAAATGACACCAAGCCAGGGCGTTCTGCTGCCCCAGGGGCTGGCAGAGAGCTGCTCACCCCACACCTGCCAGAGCCAAACCTCGTGGTTCCTTTGTTCAGGGCCCGTGTGATGCTGCTCGGTGTCACTCAAGTTTGGGGTATTTTTCGGGTTCAGTGGCAGCCAGGAGCCTCCTGATGTGTCCTGGCAGTTTTTTTGGGGAGCCCTGAGTGACAGCTCAATGTAGGAAAGTCCTTAAAAAGAAAAAGTCGCCTCCCATGGTATTAGTGGCTGTCATGGGAAATGCTTCCCCCCCAAAATTATGGTGGATTTAGGTGTTGTTAGAGGAGGAGCAAAGCTCGGGGTGTTTGCACGGCGTCAGCTTTTCACGCCAGGATTGCATGGAATTGGCATCCCCTCCCCTGGCACGGCCCTGGCAGCGGGGCTGAAACCCTTGTGTGCCTCCCCAGCTGGTGCAGATCATCATCAACACCACCCACCTGGAGAAATCCTGCAAGTTCCTGGAGGAGTTCATCACCAACATCACCAACGTGCTGCCCGAGACCGTGCACACCACCAAGCTCTACGGGACCACCACCTTCAAGGTGAGCAGGGCAGGGGCCCAGCCCTGGCTGGGGGCTGCGAGGGATCTGCTCAGGAGGGCTCAGCTGGGCTGAGCCCAAGGATGATTCCAGCCTGTTTTGGGGAGGTTGCGCCATCGCTTTGGGTTTGTCCTTCGGAGAAGTGCTCCTGTCGAGATCATGGCAGGTTGTGTCCTTAATTTACAGCCTTAATTAGCTAAAGGATTAAGGAGATCTTAAACAAAAGCTTGGTATTTCTTATTTAAATAAATCCTCACTTTGCTGTTGGAGTGCTGTGTCATGGGCACCAGGTTCCTCTTCCACCCAGGAAGAAGATTTTCAGAATTTATATTTCTCCATCTTTCCACTCCTTTTAGGATTATCCCCTAAAAATCAGGGCTCCCAGACAGAAACTCCCAGATTTTCCAGCCTTTAAATCCCACTCCAGGAGTGCTCACCCAGGTGCTTTATATGGGATCCAGTTGGGTCAAGTGTGGGCTGTCCCGTGGAGATCCAGAGGTGGGGACAGCAGGGATGGGTTTGGTGAGGCTTTGCCTCGGGGTGACTCAGTCTCTTGTCCCCAGGGAATTCCATCCTGGCTTTATCCACCTGTTTGGCCTAAAGCTGAGTGCCCTGCCCTTGTTCTGGCAGGGAGGCTCCTGAAGCCCAGCCCTGCCCTGGGTTTGGTGGGGTTTCCATAGGGGATGTTCCTCTCCCAGCTCAGAATCACGGGATATTCTGAGCTGTAGGACCCACAGGGATCATCAGCTCTGGAACCGCCCGTCCAGGGGCTGAACACCACCTTGGTGTTACCAGCACCAGGATCCCACCACTGGAGCCAGTCTCTCCTCCATCTCCTCTGGATTTGTCCTCAGGTCACATTGGGGGCAGAATCCAGCTTGGTCCTGCCCACCATGGCCTGGTGGTCCCTGTCCCACCAGCCTGAGGCTGCAGCAGCCCCGTGGTTGCTGCCCTGAGCTTTGGGATTGTGCCAAATCCCAGTCTAAAGGTCGGGTGGAGCTCCCACCCTGTTAGAGGGTGGTGTGGAGCCCCTGTCCCTGTGGGGTCCCAGTGGTGTGGAGCCCCCATCCCATGTAGGATTTTGCTGGTTTAGAGCCTCCATCCCATGCAGGATATTGATGGTTTGAAGCCCCCATCCCATGTAGGATTTTGGTGGTGTGGAGCCCCCATCCCATGTAGGATTTTGCTGGTTTGGAGCCCCCATCCCGTGTATGACATTGATGGTTTAGAGCTCCCATCCCATGCAGGATTTTGCTGGTTTAGTGCCCTTATTCTGTGTAGGATTTTGCTGGGTTAGTGCCCTTATTCTGTGTAGGATTTTGCTGGTTTAGAGCCCCCATCCCATGTAGGATTTTGGTGGTGTGGAGCCCCCAACCCGTGTAGGATTTCAGTAGTGTGAAGGCCCCACCCCGTGTAGGATTCCTGTGGTGTGGAGCCCCCATCCCATGCAGGATTTTGCTGGTTTGGACCCCCTATCCCCGGAGGATTTTTGTGGGGTGGAGCCCCCAACCCGCGTAGGATTTTAGTAGTGTGAAGGCCCCACCCCGTGTAGGATTCCTGTGGTGTGGAGCCCCCATCCCACGTAGGATTTTGCTGGTTTGGACCCCCTATCCCAGTAGGATTTTGGTGGTGTGGAGCCCCCATCCCATGCCGGATTTTACCCCCATCCCACATCCTGTCCCATTCCCAGGACGCCCGTCACGCCGCCGAGGAGGAGATCTACACCAACCTCAACCAGAAGATCGACCAGTTCCTGCAGCTGGCCGACTACGACTGGATGGCCCTGGAGCCGGGCAGCCGGGCCAGCGACTACCTGGTGGATCTGATCGGCTTCCTGCGCAGCACCTTCGCCGTGTTCACCCACCTCCCGGTGAGCCCGCCCTCCCTCCTGCTCCCGGCTCCCCCGGGAGCCCACGCCTGCTGGGCTGTGGTGGAAACAGGGCCTGCTGCTGTGGGGGATGTAGGAAAAATCCGGATTTTAAAGGTGTTCCACGTGTCACCGCAAGCTGGGCTTCAGGAGTCTCCCAGTTATTTGCAAGTTTAGTTTTGGGGGATTGTGGCTCTATCCCAGCCCGCCGTGTACCAGCAGCATCATAATTTATTCCCCACCTGTATTTCAGATATTTTAACTTCTACTTAATGCCCATCCTGGATTTTTTTTTTCCCAGAAAATCCAGCCTAGGGGTGCGTTACTCAAACTACAGCTGCATTTCCAAGTGTTTGTCAAGTCCCTGATGCCTCCCATCCCAATATTGCTCCCTTGCAAGGCACCATATGTTTCTTTCTTCTCTCTGCTGTCTAAAGTCCCTGTGTTTATGCTGCTGTTGCCATCAGAAATGTGCTTTATGTTGCTTTTTGCAGTTGGCTGAGTGGTGTCTCATTGGTAGGAAAAATCCAATCACCAGGGAGATTCCTTTTTTGCTCCAGCAGCTTTTTTTCCTCCTCTAAATGGGATTTGTTTTGGGCTGTGCGGATACACTCTCGGCAGGATCAGCAGGTATTTTGAAACAGCAAATCCCCCTGAACTCTGTGGTTGTTCTAAAAGCAATTTCAGATCTTTCTTTCTTTACAAAACTGGGATTTATTTGCTGCTTTCACGAGCTGGGAATAAACAGGAAGGGAAGATTTAATATTCCCCAGTGGCAGCTTCCTTCATTCTGTTCATGCCCTGGGATTCTCCTCTGGAAGCAGGTCCCACCCTCCAGAGCTGTTTTGGAGGTGTCACACCCCCAAACTGTGCTGCCTCTTGTCCTTGGGCATCCCCATCCCAGCAGGAAGATCTGGGAGCAGGGGGAGCTCTGGCTGATTTTCTGTAGGGGGAAAGCCCCCAAAAGGAGACTGGAAGTGGCTTCCCCTCTGCTCTGCACCTGTGTGCAGGAGAAGTGGCTTCCTCAGCTCTGTTATCAGTGGGACAAACTGGTGAATGAACTGATAAATGAAGTGTTGAGCAGGGAGGTGGGGAGGACTTGGATCCATCTCCCCGGCCAGGTTTGTCCCAAATGTCCCCCAAGCAGGTGTCTTGTGGCAGGTGCCTTCCAAAGCCAGGAGATGCTGGAAACGGCTGGATTTCTCCTTAAAAAAGGAGCTGGGGGTTGGTTTAGCACCTGGAGGCTTCCTCCCATCACGCTGGGAATACTCAGGAGCCAGTAATGGAATTTGACAGGGAGATTGGTCTCTGCAGCAGAGCATGAAGCAGCAGAGATGAGCTGGGGGGGGAAGCCCACGGTGATTTATGAGGTGGGCCAGGAGTGATTTATCTTCCTTAAATATTAATGTTTCCTTTTGGAGCCACTCAGGGTTGGTTTGGAGGCTGGCAGGACTTGAGTTGGTCTAAAAAGCACCAGGGCAGATGGAGGCAGCCTTTTGTCCTTCAGACCTGGGTTAGAAAAGCCTCAGCTGAGGAGAGGTTTGGGTTTGCTGGGCAGCTCCAGAGCCTCCCCAAAGCCTGGGGAGACTGGGGAGGCACCTCAGCCTGGTTTGGGCAGCCTCAGGTCTGGGTCAAAGCTTTGTGGGAGCTGCAGGTTTGGGATTTTTTAATATTGGTTCGAATTATTTTCCTTATGTTGCTGTTGGATCACCCAAATTGTGGGTGAGAGCAAGCCAGGAAGGACCAGGCTGCGTCCCAAAGGCCTTTGGTGTCAAGGTTTTTCATTCTTGTAGGGTTCAGGGAATTTTTCCAGTGGCTGATTTAGGAGCACACTGAAGTTCCTGGGCTTTGCTACTGAAATGCAGGAGACAAAGGTGTTTCCAAAGCCATGAAAAAAATGATGGAGGTGTTTGTTCAAGCACCAAAAATGTGGCATGAGCATCAGCTGGGGAAGGAAAGAGGGAGAGGGCTGAAGGAACATTCCCAAAAGGGTGAATTCCAGCTCTAGGAGGAAATTCAGGGCTCTGGGGACAAGATGGAGCTGATCCAAACCCTTCCCAATCCATCAGCACGAGAGCTGTGATTGGAAGTAAAGCATGAGTTTTGGGGTCTGAGAGGAGCTGCTGCCCTGTTTGAGATGAGTTTTCAGCCTGGTCCCAAAAAATCCAGGATTTCCACACTGCCAGTAGCTGCAGGGCTGTTCCCCATCCTGGGGTGAGGTGTCCTTGGAGCCCCTGTGTGCAACACCTCCCATTCCTGTTCTCCTGCCTGGTTTGGAAATGCCCTCACCTTCCAGAGCCGATTCCTGTTGAATTTATGGGATTTTGGCCAAGTGGAAAGCGCTCCCCTGGTGTTGGAAGGTGCAGTTTTGCTGCTCCCCTGCCTTTTGTCCCAGCTGGAATGACACCTCCAGCTGCCCATCAGGGAACCTCAACCCAGGCATGTCGGAGTTCCTGGGCTAAAATTCCACCTCCAAAATGCCCCATCAGGGAAAAAAAACGGAGCCCAAAGTCCTGAGGCTGCAGAAATGCACCGTGACGGGGCTGAGTAATCCCATTGTCCCGACAGAGCTGCAGGAAAACCTCTGTGGGGTCACGGCTCCAGCTGGCCCCAGGGCAGCTCAGGAGGCCTTGGAAGGTCCTTGGGACTGAGCTTTGGAGAGCAGCTGAAAGGAATCTGAGCTGGGATTCAATATTAGGGTTTATGTTTCCCTCTTTAGGCTGAATTTTTCCTGTGATTCTTGGGAATCCCAGGATTACTGAGCAGTTTGGGTTGGGAGGGCCCCTGAAGGTCACCTGCTCCGAGCCCCTGCCGTGAGCAGGGACACCTTCAACTGCATCAGGTTCTCCAGAGCCATGGCCTTGGAGCTTTCCAGGGATGGGGCTTCCTCCATTTCTCTGGGCACCTAGCAAAAATAACCCAGCCCAAAATCCTGGCTGGTGGATTGGCCTAAAGTCTCTTTTTTAGTCTCTTTTTCTAAACCTCAAGCAGGAATTTGAGTCCTTAATTCTTCTTTTGGACTAGGCATTGTGGGAGATGATGGAAACCGCTTGATTTTGGGAATTCCTGGGATTTGTTTGCATATTGTGCTTCTCTGGGGGACATCTTCAACTGGATCAAGTTGTCCAGAGCCATGGCCTTGGATTTTTCCAGGGGTGAGGTCTCCACCACCTCTGTGGGCACCTAGTTCAAGCAGCAGCAAAACTGACCCAGCCCAAAATCCTGATTCATGGGCTAAAGGGTCTCCATTTTCTCTGGAGCTCAAGCAGGAATTTGAGTCCCAAAATCCTGGCTCATAACCTAAAGAGTCTCCATTTTCTCTGTAGCTCAAGCAGGAATTTGAGTCCCTAATTTTTCTTTTGGAGTAGGCATTGTGGGAGATGATGGAAACTGGGATACTGGGAATTGCTGGGTTTTATCTGTACATTGCAGTTTTCTGGGGGACATCTTCAAGTGGATCAAGCTGTCCAGAGCCATGACCTTGGATTTTTCCAGAGATGAGGCCTCCACCACCTCTGTGGTCACCTGGCAAAAAAACCCCAAAATAATCCCAAAACCCTGGCCGGTGCTGCAGCCTAAAGAGCCTCCACTTTTTCTCGGCCTTGCAATCCCAATTTTTTTTTTTTCCTTTGGAGTAGGCATTGTGGGAGATGATGAAAACCACTTGATTTTGGGAATTCCTGGAATTTGTTTGCACGTTGCAGTTTTCTGGGGGGACGCTGAGCCCTCACCAGTGCCGTGGGGACGGCGTGTGCCGGGGGGCAGGAAAAGTTCACGGAGAACTTCCCGGGGTTTTGGTGCATGCCAGTGCTGCATGAAACGGTCATGGTGGTTTGGAGCCACGATTCCAGAATGCTCCACTAAGTGCCCAAAAATGTCTCCGAGCAAATAAAGCTGATGGGAATCAAAGCATAATTAACATTTGGCTCCCGAGGCCGCCCTCTTCCTGCGTTAACCAGGGAGAGTCGGTTCCTGCTGCTGCTGTGGAGCTCATTAATATGGGATGCTCGGGTCTCCTTTAAAAGAAAAACCTCTTTTTTTAAGGGTAAAAAAAATATATTTTAGTACAAAAAGTATTTTAGGCCTTAAAAGAAAAAAAAAAACCCCAAAAAAGGTGGTTTCTGGTTTTCAGCAAGCAAAGCGCCACGGCCTCCAAAAATGAACATTTCCAGCCTAAGACTTTGCAAAGAATGACTGAAAAAGCCTTTTGTCTTTGATGGCTGATTGTTGTTTTTATTTCTTGTTGGACAAGTTAATGTAAATGGCATTGACAGGGCTACTCCAAACACACTGATTTGTTGACATTAAGCTCCTCAGAGATGGAGGGTTGTGTCAACACCTCCCCTGAACTGTCAGGTTAACAAAGCAAGGATGTTTTCTTGGGGGAGGGGAGCGGGACTGGGGGGAAGGGGGGGGTGTTTTGTTTTTATTTTCAGTTTCCTTTAATCCTCTGTTAGTCTTGTATCTCGATAACCTCCTTTGGAAGGGAATCAGGGCAGGTCAAGAGGTGAGGCTGACCTGGGAAGGGGAAGCAATCTTTCAGCGATCCAACAAATCCAACCTCTGCCGTTGAGCACTTCAGTGTGAACCCTCTGCAAAGGGCTTTTTTTTCCCCCCTATTTTTTTTTTCCCTTTTCTGCTTATTTTTGCCAGATGGCAGGCACAGATTTCAGCTGGAGCCGTGATGGTTTTTTGCCTTCTCTTGGCATCTCTTCCCCCTCGCAAACGAAAAGCCCCGGCAGCTCTTGCTCTGGTAGAAAGAGCTTTGCAAGTGTTTATTTTCTTTCCAAAGAGAACGATTGCCTGTGTTTTTATTTGAAAAGTCAAATCCCTCTGGAATATTTATAAGCCAAGGCCCTGTGCATGGAAGCGAAATGCCATGAACTTTGCACCAACCACAGCCTCGGCCGCGTTGGGAGGGACCCAAGTGGAAAATAACCATCAGGAAAACATCTCAGGAGCACCAGAGTCACCTCTGGGTTTGCACAAGCCCAGTCTGTGCTTAAATAACTCCCCTGGCCCTTGGAAGAGCTGAGCAAGTGCTGCTGGAGCTGATCCCAGCTGTCACTCCCAGGGTCTGACATCCATCCCTCCTGCAGGTGGGATTGCTGAGGAGCAGGGATGGGGCTGTGCAGAGCAGGCAGGAGAGCTGCAGAGGGACTGGGGACAAGGACACAGGGAATGGCTCCCACTGGCAAAGGGCAGATTGGGCTGGGATCTTGGCAAGGAATTCCTGGCTGGGAGGGTGGGCAGGGGCTGGAATTCCCAGATTTGCTGTCCCTGGATCCCTGGCAGTGCACAAGGCCAGGTTGGACATTGGGGCTTGGATCCACCTGGGACAGTGGGAGATGTTTGAATCAGGATGCTCTTTAAGATCCCTTCCAACCCAACCCATCCCAGGAATCTGTGACAGAATGACAACAAAACTGCTCTTGTGGTGCTTTATTCTCCTCCTCCTCCTCCTCCTCCCAGCAGCTCCCAGGAGCCCCCACTTTGCTTTCCCAATCCTTTGCTGATGTCGGAGCCGCCGTTGGAGCACTGGGGGGTTGTGGGCACCTCTGCTGACCTTTGGGCTCCTTTCTGCCTTTGTCCTGTTGCTGTGCTCTGTTGTGCCTCTGACCCTGACCTCCTGTGTTGTCCTCTGTAGGGGCAGGTAGATGTCCACTCTACCATGTCGGTGAGTACCGGACGCTGCGTCCCGCGCCTTGGCTCTGCTCCGCTCACACCTCCAGCCTCGGGGGCAGCTGAACCAGAAAAGGTCCTGTGTGTCAGCCAGGAGGAAAGGAAAAGATGGGTTGGAAGTTGAGATCGATGGGATAAATAATTCTGGGATAAATCAGAGACCGAAGGAAAGGGTTTCCTTCCCAATGGGTCACTAAATTGATGGTTTGAGTGCATTGAAATGGCTCCCTGGAATACCTAAATCTGCAGGGAATTAGGGGGAATGCCTGATATTAGGGAAACCTGGATGAGATTCTCACACTCTGCTCCAAAGAGAAAAGATGTTTGTAAAATCCATGCTCCTTGTTTGGAGAAATTCCCCATGGGGATTCCAGCTGGAAATTCCTCCTGGTTTGAGGGATTGGACCACTAAGCTTTCCCTCAGACTGGAGTGGAAGTGTCCAAAGCCAGGCTGGATGGGGCTGGGAGCAACCTGGGATGGTGGAAGGTGTCCCTGCCATGGCAGGGGGTGGAACTGGATCATCTTTAAGGTCCCTTCCATCCCAAACCACTCTGGGATTCCATGGTTTTCTCCAGAAAATAACGTGGATTCTTGACACGTGCCATCTCCCAGTTTGGATTTGGCCAATTTAGCACCAAAGTAAAGCCAAGGAGACTTTTCAGACCTTGCTTCTGGTTCAGCAACCCCCTGTGATTGTTGTCATCTCTGCTTGTTCCATGTGCAGGAGGAAAACCCGCGGCATTTCCCGGGATGGACGGCAAACAAAGTGCTCTGCAGCCACCTTGTTTCCTCTGTTCCCACGGCTGCAAACCCAGGCCCGTGGGGGCAAAACCCACCTGGGAATTCTGTGGGGTCGTTACATTCAGAGCCTGGATCCTGCTTCTGCTTTCCAGCCTTTGTGCCCTGCTCTTCATGGGAATCCTGACTGATATTCCCTGCTCCAGTGGGATGCTTGTTCCCCTTTCCCTGGAAACTCAGCCTGGCTAAGCCTGGACTATTTGCAGGCTCCAGGCACTTGGGGGGGTTTCTAAGTCAACACCGAGGCCTCAAATCAACACCAGCTCCTGGAGAGAGGAAGCCTGGTTAAAGCAATCCCAGGCTGGCTCCCATCAAAGCCGGGAGCAGCCGGGATGCTCCAGGCATTCCCTGCAGCCAGGGGTTTCCAGGAGCGGTGTTGGATGTCAGGCATCCTCCGTGCTGTCCTCGGGGCGCAGCCCAACAGGGAGAGATGCAAAAAAGCCCTTTTCCCTCTGGCTTTTCCAGGCTTGGAGCTGTTTAGAAGCCAGATGTATTTATTTCTTTAATTGGATCCAGTGCCTAGACAGCTCTGGAGTCAGCTTCCTACAGAGAGGGGGGCATTACTTTCATTAAGGTAAATCAATGGAAAATAATACCTGGAGCTCCCCTGGAAAGGGTCAGGGATGGAGTAATCCCTTTATATGGAGGGGCTTTGCCAGCCTGCTCTTAGTCAGGCTTGTTCTTAACGGCAACAAATCCCAGTTTTCCTTCCTTTTATCCCTCCTAATTTTCTGTTCTCTGCCTAGTTGGGATTAATTGGCAGGAATAAATCACAGAAGAAGGGGAAAAATAAAAATGGGATCACACAAAGTAGCAGGACAAAGGAGGAATTTTAGCAGAGTTTGATTTGTCCTGTGGGAAGTTTTTGTGGCTAATCCTGGAAGTTTAAAAGGTAAAAAAAGCGGGATGAGGACATGGACATGCATGAGCAGCATCCAGAATCTTCCATGTCTGGGGCTCTCCACTCCAGAGGTGATCCAAATCTTTTAGGGGATTGCGTGGCCTGAATGAATGTTCAACAAAATTCCTGTAAAGCAGGGATGCCTTGAAGGGGAGAGGATGGACTGGTGGCTGGAGCAACCCATTCCTGGTTTCCCAAGTGCCTCGAGAATCCCAAATATTTGTCAGGATGGAGGCCTCGAAACAGGAGCCTGTGACACTTTAAAGCAAGGAGCAGAGTGTCCAAATCCCATGGATTTAGTAGTGCTGGATGGGGCAGGCTGACCCCTGATTAACCCAGGAGCTCTGTAAACTTGAGTCTGGCTAAGCCAGGTTATCTGGAATTCCAAGGTTTCCTTGTCTGCTTTCAGCAGTTGGAAAATTAATGGAAGCCAAAATGCCCAATGCCATAAATCCTTTAAACCAGGACGTGCTTCCATAGGTGTTGTTCCCTCTGTGGAGTCACCTCGGCATGGTTGGCTTGGAATTTTGTTTTCCAAACCAGGACGGAGGAAGCTGTTGGGTGCTTTCTCTTGCCTGCACTTGCATCCATAAGGAATGCGTGGCACAGGGAATCTGGCAGCCAAAATTCCAACCCTGGTGTGTGGAATCCAAATGTGCCTTCTCCTTCCTGCTCCAGAGCCTCAGCCTGGACCTTCCAAAAATCCTACCAAGAGATAAAGTTTGGGTAGGGATTCTTCTACCCTTTAGGAAATTTAGGGGAAGTCATAGGATTTGCAATTTCCTGCTTTCCTCTTGTTTCACCCACTGCTCTTCCAAGGGCTCTTAAGCTGGGAATGTGGAAAGGGACATCCATGAACAGCTTCCAAAGCTCTCCACGGGAGGAGCCCCAGCTGCCCTGGAGGAGCCCAAACCTTTGGGGGGTCCCTGTGCAGGGGACACGTGAGCTGAGGGTGCACAGAGAAGTTGGGTGCTCGGGATGGTCGCTTGGAGCCACCAGCCATGGCTGATGCCACCAGTGTGGCTGAAGATGATTTCAGGGTCCCTTTCCAGAAATGTCTTCCCTGGATCTTAGAGCTTTGGGTAGATGGAATGGCTGGAGCTGGAAAAACTTCTCAAAGTGCAGATCCCTATGGAATTCTCGTCATCCTCTGGAGTTTTTTGTTGGGTTTCGTGAAGGGCAAGAAATCAGGAGAACCTGATGGGTTAATTGAAAACCAGTCACTAATTCCTACAGCTTTCCCCGTCTCTCTGTTTCATCCATCTTCTCCCTGGTTTTTAGCTATAGCACCTCAATTTCGAAATGGAAATTTAATCTATGATTCAGATTTTGGGGAAAGACAAAATGAGCTGAAGGTTCGGGCGCCGCTTCTGCTGGTCACTCAGGTCTGCTTGGAAAAACCTCTTGGACTGAGCTTTGCTGGCTCATGGAGTAGCAATGGAGTGGGTGGGTTGGGATTTTTCCTTGGAGCTCATCCTTTTTTCCAGTCTGTTCAACATCTGGGCCGCAGTGGGGCAGCGGCTGCGTCTCCTCCAGGCCCCGCGCGTCACCCCGGTGTGCCGAGCCTTCCCCTGGCATCCCAGCGGGCGGGGATCTGCGTAAATGGGGGATCTGGAGCATCCCTGTGTGTGCAGAGGGTGAGGAACCCCCGGGGTCGCTGTCCCAGAGGGAGGACGAGCGCTCCAAACTTCTGGATCTTTCCTTTTTTTCTCCGACATCGAATTGTAATTACAAAATTATTTCGGGAAGATGGAGCGATTCAAGTCCCTCTCTTTAAGTTTTCCTGCTGCCGTAATTGGCAGCTTTGCCCCGATAAATCAGCAGAAACAAACGTGGTTCTTGCTCTTCATAAGCGAGGGAAAAAATAAAAAAAGAATCTGTATTTAATCAGCTTTTTGTTTCCAAGATGGCAGCTGCTTTGTATTTAATGGAAAATCAGGCTCTTCCCAATGGAAAGAATGTTATTCCCAAAGCGAATACAAAAGAAAATAAAACCCACAAAAGAGGAGGATGAAATATGTCCGTATTTTTTTTTTTCCTTTTTTTTTTCGGTCTCGTTCGTTCCAGTTTGGAGCCGCGCGCTCCGATCGCGGCCGGGCCACGGCTCTGCTTTCCATCAAGGAACTGGGAAAGTCTCGGATCCTGGGCACGGGGACCAGGAGAGAGCCTTGGGAGACACGAACAGGACCAAAAAATGAAGGCTACTTCATGTTCCTTGTGTACCTTTTGGCTTTGGGGAAAATTTGCATGGAATGTTCGGAAGGAATTCTTCTCTGTGAGGGCGGTGAGGCCCTGGAGTGGATTTCCCAGATTTGCTGTGGCTGTCCCTGGATCCCTGGCAGTGTCCAAGGCCAGGTTGGACACTGGGGCTTGGATCCACCTGGGATAGTAGAAGGAGTCCTGCCCATGGCAGGGTGGGAATGGATGGGATTTAAGGGAAGTCTCTTCCCACTCCAACCATTCCCAGATTCTGTGATTTTGATGCCAGTCTCCACTTCCAGCCTGGTGGGACAGCAGGGATCAGGTGGTTCTGTGGTTATTGAGTGCCTGCAGTTAAACCCAGTGGCAAACCAAGATAAAGGCTGTAATTCCTAGAGTAATTCCTGGAGTATTTCCTGGAGTTTCTCAGGGTGTGATGTTGTCCCTCCCCAAACCTGGACTGGCAGGAATCTTTCCCAGCTGTGACTGGTGTGGAGGTCCTTGCAGAGATCCTGCAGCATCGCAGGAGCCCGGAGAGCAGTTGGATGCCCCAGCTCATTTTGGGTGATCCAGGCTCTGCATCCAATCATTTCCGTGTTCCTGACTCCCAAAAACCATTTAATTAAAAATATCCTGCCCTGCCTTTGGATGTTAAACAAGGAAAAAAGATGGAAATCACAGAATTTTCTGTTTCCTTGGATTTTTGCACATGTGCATATCCAAATTTCCACCAGCAGCTTCCCAGCTTTGCTGCAAACCCTGGATCTTCCAGAGGAGATCTCTGCCCACTTTGGGCTCCTTAGGGATCCAAAGGAGCTGCCCCATGCTCGGCTGTGGCAGCTGCATCCCAAGGTCCTTCCCTTCCCTTCCCTTCCCTTCCCTTCCCTTCCCTTCCCTTCCCTTCCCTTCCCTTCCCTTCCCTTCCCCACCCCCTGCCCCTCCTTCTGTTTATTTCTTTTCCTATTTAACAAAAATCACGAAGCAGGAGTCGCTCGTTGTCTCTGACAGAGGGACAAATTGTGTGTTCCTGTGCCTGCTCAAATCCCAGAGCCTCTGATATCCCAAATCCCACGATTTCCCGTGGTTCCAACCTCCT